CAGGAATAAGGGCGTTTTCCTCGCCCTTTAAAATTTTATCCACACCCCTCCANAATTTAAATATGGAACGTTTGAAACGTTCATATTATCAGGAATAAGGGCGTTTTCCTCGCCCTTTAAAATTTTATCCACACCCCTCCACCAAGCCTACCTTAGCTGAGAAAACGGCTTTGAATTTTTCCAACACCAATTTGGCAAGAGGTCCCTGCGCTTCTATAAGCCGCATGGGCAAAAAAAGGCAATATCTTAAAAAAAGCAAAAAAAAAGGCAAATATCTTAAAAAAGGCAAAAAAAGGCAACATCAAATGTGTATATATGGAATCAGGGAAAGCTAAATCGTGGACATTCTTAATCGAATATACTCTATCTCTTTAGCAGAAAAAAAGGCAATTTCCCTAAAATCCGTTCCCTGATAATAGTTATAAGTGCTTTGTGAATTTTCTGATAATTATTTATTTTATTAATAAAACAAAATTTACTTAATTTAGTTAATATTAGGTTTTCTATTAATTTACATAACTTACGTTGGTAGTTAGCTACAGGTTGAAGAAGCATATGCAAATTATGGACATGAGACTACAAAACCCATTGCAGCATTGCAATGTACAAATAAACGTTTTCGCTGCTACATTTTGCCGATCGCCGCAAACGCAAAAGCAAAAGCAGAAACCACCGAGCGCGCATGAAATACCGCATACACACAAAGCTCACACGTACGCTGTCGATTTGTTTNTTTTTTTTGTTTAATGTTTCTTTAAACTGTTACTTTCAAAAGTACCTGGTATTTATATTCTTATTTGTGATGTATGCGTTCACAATCACATGGTTTTTTAAATACAATTTAAAAAAAGAATTACCTTAATATTTGTCTGTATTAATAAAAATGTGATTTTTTAAATCAGTTTATCGTACATTTTAAATTGGTTTATTTCATGACATGTTTAAATGCTCTCAGTTATTGAATTTTTACTCATATTCATAAAGTTTATGACTCAATTTGAATCCCGGGATCACAATTTTCCTGATATTTTGGCATCCCTAATTCCCACAACACGGCAGGGTCGAAAAATCAAACTTCCCGTCCGATTTAGGACGTAAAGTCTGGGGCAGCACTGTGGCGACCACGCTGAAAACAGTTCGATGGCAACCTTAATTCGGCGACGAACAACAGGAGAAAGAAGACTGAACCCTTGACGAACATGACATTCCATTTTTGATAATCATACAGTATGTCATCGCACACCGTCTTCAAACGAGTCAACTCAAAATTTGGCATTTTTGAGATTAGGCGCTAAAAATGTACGCAGAGCTTTTATTTACCTTTCAGCAAAAGCTGGAGCAAATTTTTGTTATAATTTGTTAAAAAAACCTTTGCCCATATGATTAGCATGTGCTACGAAATAGTTTTTCGCATTTTCTGACAAACGTATTATTTTGAGTTCTGACTCTTCTGAAGTCATTTTTGATACATTAATTTGGAACTTTAATAAAATAAAACCTAAAATTCCCAAACCTTTAATTATTGAATCATGATCACAACCATGATAAAAACATAGCAAGGTATAACCGTTCTCTCAATTTGTCGGCCATGATTTTTTTTTGAAGTTTGCCAACATTTTAAAATCATATAAAAGTGAAAATAAAAAATTGAAATTGTTCGAAATTGTTGTTGCTTGATATAGAAAATGAAAATGTGTGTGTGAGTTTGTGAGTAAATTTAAAAATTAAATTGTTTGGAAACGTCAAGAATTTTAAAAGTGACTCTCAGCGGTTCTACCTTACTATATTTTTATCATGATCACAACCTAAAAATATAATTTGACGAATACTTAATTATAAAATTATCAAATTGGAGGAATAAGCTGGCGAGATGAGGACATAGTTCCCTGCCATTAAAATTCAATAAATTACCAAATTGGAGGAATAACCTGGCGACATGAGAACCAAGGTCCCTTTAAATTTTTTTATCTGAATAATACATTCTGACATAACTAATAATTAGAGGAATAACCTGGTTACTTGTGGACCATTAAATCACAATACAAATTTTAATTGAATATAATTGATAAAAAATAAAACGTATCATACATATATAAGCAGAAACTTTTGCACGTGGTTCTGGCCCTCAGCGGTATTACCATCGTGTATCAGTGGAGCGACGTTTGGACACATCAATGGAATATTACATACAAAGAGACATATATTAAAAGCAGAGGAATAACCTGGCGGTGGTGAAAACCGGCCAACCTACCCAAAACCCAAAAAAAAAAAAATTTGTTTGTTCTCTATGTATATTCCTAGATACTTGACACTTTTCACCACTTCAATATTTTCATCTTTGATTTTTAATTCATGGCTTATGGAGTCAGCTTTTGCCGCTCTGGAAAATACCATNTACATACCGATCACATAGCAGTGAAAATCACTTAGATTGGTGCCATATAAAGTATATCTTCCATACCTCTGATTGTTTAGATGCGATTTTTTATATAAGTATGTAACTCCTCTATCGATGTATCAAAATCAGTAATCTGTCAAACTAAAATTTGCAGATGTTCATGAAAGGTATGAAGCCTTCGGCATAGCCGAAGACAGCGCTGCTCACTTGTTTTTTTTATGGATGTTACCGCATAACTTTGGACCACGTCAACCGATTTTGATAATTCTTCTTTTGCATCGGAAAGGTAGTGTCTCAGAGGTGGTCCCATGTTAAGATCCGATCAGTGGATCATGAGATAAATATATATATATATTTTTTTTATATGATAGTTTTTTTGCTAAAAATTANGTTTTTTTTATGGATGTTACCGCATAACTTTGGACCACGTCAACCGATTTTGATAATTCTTCTTTTGCATCGGAAAGGTAGTGTCTCAGAGGTGGTCCCATGTTAAGATCCGATCAGTGGATCATGAGATAAATATATATATATATTTTTTTTATATGATAGTTTTTTTGCTAAAAATTACTTGTTCACATTCAGTTTGAGTTTATTTGAACACAGCCATTGATACAAAGAATTAAGATCTTGCATTTTAACAATCGCATTTGGTAGTTCCCTATCACTGATTGTTAACAAGGCATCATCCGCAAAGAGTTTTATTTTACAATGTTTGAGAGAACTTTTAATATCGTTTGTATATATATTAAAGAGTAGGGGTGCCAAAACTGAGCCCTGTATCTACAGCTGTCTTACTAGACATCTTTGAATTAACTAGTGTTTGTTGCCTACGATTACATAGAAAGCTTCTAAACCAGTCAAGGTCAGTGTTTTTTATGTCAATGTATTTTAGTTTATCCAACATTGGGACCCTATCAACTGTTTCAAATGCTCTTTTAAGATCAATAAACACTGCTACTACATTAAGGTGGCAGCTAAAATCTTCTTTCCATTGAGAAAGCACCAGATTCAGCGCAGTCTCACAGGAATATTTAGCTCTGAATCCAGATTGTTCTTTTATGAGTATTTTATTGGATTCCACATAGTACTGTAGCTGGTTTTTCACAACGGTTTCTAGCGCCTTCTACAGTAAAATTGCTTGATTTTAAATATTTTATTTTATTAAAATTATGGATTCTGATGCATTTGCAGTTATAGCAGCGGAGTAAGAGCGCGCTATGGCAATGGACTCACAAAGGTATGCGGAGCTTCCGGGCATTGTAACCATGGCGCATCTATGTCAGCTTCTGGTTGAATTGTTGAACTACTAGCCAGAATTCCTCCTATGCCTGCAGAACTGTTCCCCAATCCAGTTAATACAATAACAGCTTCTTCCAAGCCATTGAAAGCATGCATTTTGTTAGGTCCACCACTTATTGCGCTTGCTTCTGCCTTCGGCCGCGCTTAGGGATTATAACTCTTACTAAGTAGAATTCTCCTTTCTGTGTTGCCGGAGAAGAAGGGCTTCCGTATGTCAAAGGTATACAATATTTCTTGTGCATATCACAGTATTTTTGCACAGAACTCACATCGAAATTTGCAAAAAAGTGCGTAGTGCAAACCGAATTAATTAATAATTTGAAACATATTTTAAATAAAGGTTTAATCCTTTGATTACACGTGTATGTTAAAAGTTTTTGGATTCGGGTTATACGTTTGGACACAACAATTGAAAATCATTGTACGAATAACTAAACCGGACCCAAGTTTCTCGGTAAGGGGTAACAAAGATTCTTTTTTGCTCGTTTAAATATATAAAGCAGTGGATACAAATAATATGTATATGCGAAAGGCAAATTTATCTGTTTAAATAAACACCGCTAATATTTCCTGCAAACACAGCTCGATTTACTTCATTTATCTCGCCTCCGATACAGAATTGTTTTTGTACAAAATTACGCAAAAAAGCTTACTCGCTCGTTTTTAGGCATGCCATTGTTACGAATTTCGAAGGTTCGAAGATACGATTCGGATTGCAGCATACCATTCCTACGATTCGTAGCAAAATCCGAATACGAAAGTGTTGCAGAATAGGGGTGATAGTTTATACACTCTATATTGGTATGTATTTCCAAAATGCTGTCCAAAAAAAATTTAAATCTGTTGTTGTTGTTGTAGCGGCTACAACAACCCCGCCCAGATCGGCTGATATCTCAGTCATTGTTGTTGTTGTTGTTGTTGTAGCGGCTGCAACAACCCCGCCCAGATCGGTTGGTATCTCAGTCGTTGTCGTCAAGTTCCACTAACGGCAACCCTAGGAAGCGTGCAGCTTCTGTGGGATTTGTCCACAGGGACAAGGCCGTTAGGGTTGTCGGGTTTTCCGGGCATGCGAAG